GTTTGAGGCTGCAGTGAGCTATGATTGTGCCACTACACTCAAGCCTGGGTGACAGAGTGAGACCCTATACAAAAAAAAAAAAGTTGTTTTAGTATCAAGACCTTGTAAACCAAAAGAATGCTAAAGGTAAATACTGACTCATTTTATATTTCCGACTTTCTTTAGAAAACAACACTAAACTGAGAGTAGAATAGCAGAGACTCAGATACTTATAAATTCAGGCTAAACATTGAAAACATTTACAATTTAGGTGTCAAAATCTTTTAAATAATGTAGATATGTTCTAGTATTTCTAGTCACATGGTTTAAAATTGGATCAAATTGAAATGTTTGGAATGCTTTCAAAAGTAAGATAAAATCAATCACAGTACTTTGAGAAACTGAGGTGGGAGGATCACTTGAGTCCAGTAGTCGAAGACCACTCAGGGCAACATGGTGAGACCCTATTTCCACAAAAAAATTTTAAAAACTGGCTGGGCACCGTGGCTCACACCTGTAATCCCAGCACTTTGGGAGACCGAGGTGGGTGGATCTCTTGAGGTCAGGAGTTCGAGACTAGCCTGGCCAACATGGTAAAACCCTGTCTCTACTAAAAATACAAAAATTTGCCAGGCATAGTGGCATGTGCCTGTAATCCCAGCTACTCAGGAGGCTGAGGTACGAGAATCGCTTGAACCCAGGAGATGGAGGTTGCAATGAGCAGAGATCGTGTCACTGCACACCAGCCTGTGCGACAGAGCAAGACTTGGTATCAAAAAGAAACAAACAAACAAAAATTTTAAAAACTGGCTGGGCATGGTGGGGTTGGTGGTGTGTGTCTGTAGTTCCAGCTACTCAGGAGGCTGAGGTGGGAGGATCTCTTGGCCCCAGGGGATTGCGGCTGTAGTGAGCCATGATCATACCACAGCACTCCAGCCTGGGCAACAGAGTGAGACCCTGCCTCAAAATAATAAAATAAAATGACCATAAATACTTCTCTTCTGGATTATTCAGTTTTTAAAAAAGTCATACAAAGGTCGGGCACGGTGGCTCACGCCTGTAATCCCAGCATTTTGGGAGGCTGAGGTAGGTGGATCACCTGAGGTCAGGAGTTTGAGACTAGCCTGGCCAACATGGTGAAACCCTATCTCTACTAAAAATACAAAATTAGTTGGGCATGGTGGCTTGTGTCTGTTAATCCCAGCTACTCGGGAGGCTGAGGCAGGAGAATCTCTTGAACCCAGGAGGCAGAGGTTGCAGTGAGATAAGATTGTATCACTGCACTCCAGACTGGGCAAAAAGAGCAAAACTCCGTCAAAAAAAAAAAAAAAAGCCATAAAAAATGATCATCAGGCATTATTTCCTATATTGTTTTAAGAATCTACTGTTGGAGACACTATGATAAAATTACTGTATGTAAGTTGAATCCCTTCTAGCCAGGGTAAGTGGAATGTTTCATATTAACAGAGTAGGATAAAATCTCATTTAGTTGGTATCACTGGAAAAGGAGCTATTTCATAAAAATAAATTCTCTTGGTAACCAGACCTAATCTGAATTTTAAAAATATTAGTCATTTATTATTTGATTGGCATATGGCAATTTAATAATTGTTATATTTTCCTACCTTTTAAAAGAAAACATACAGGATACAATCCAACACTTTCTTCATTATTTTAGTGTCTACTTCAAAACTTTACTATCTGATAACTCTAATTCTGCAATCTTGCCATTCACTTTTGGCAATGAAGAAAAATCAACCCTGCCAGTATCTCTAAATGTCACAATACTGCAGCACACTATTATCACTGTAGGAAAGAAAAATGTTCTGAGAGGTAAAGTAACTTGTTTAAATTATACAAGGCAATGTGGCTTCCATCACCACTACTTATGGTGGACAATGGTTCTCACACTTGAGGATGCATCAAAGCCACTGGAAGACTTATTAAAACACCATTTGCTAGGCCCCAGCCCCAGAGTTTCATATTCAGTAGGTGTAGGGTGAGGCCTAATCTGTATTTCCAAGAAGTTCCAAGTAGTGCTGATCTTCCTGTTAGAAATCACACTTTGAGAACCACTGGGCTAATCCACTGGATTTCCCTTCCTTGTCTTTGTAGCAAAGGATGATGATAAAACTTCGTCCTTTTTGAAGTAGGATATCAATTTTTAATAACACTCCAGTTATTTAGCCAGGTTTGGGAACAACCTCTATATATTGTGTCTCCTAGGGTTCCATCCCAAGCACTCTTGTGTACTCCTTGGCCAGTGTCATTCTCTTGCCTTTGGATTCAACAATCTAAGGAAGTAGTTTTCAAAAAAGTCTAAGGACTTCAGAGTCCTTAGACTCTAAAAGAATTAAAGGTGCCAAGAAGCTTTGGGAACATGATTCTTCAACTTCCTTCCCCATTCCCTGAATTAGCTCTTCATTCTATATTCCTTGTTTCAATCGAGAGCACCTTTTAATCAGCCTAATTGCACAAATCAGAGTCAGTCTCAATTCCTCTTTTCGTACACCCTCACCATTCAATCATTAAGTTTTGTCAAACTGACCTCATAAATAGCTCTTGAGCCTGGTAATTTCTGTCTATATCCACTGCCAGAGTGTGCCTAATTTACTTGTCTGAATTCCAAAAGCCTTCCTAATGGGTTTTTGGCTTTGACCCCTCAGATCCATTCTCCACAATGCAGTTACAGTAACCTTTCTGAAATAAAATTATAATTATGCCATTCCTATTAAAAAATCCTTTAGTGCTTCCTCCTTGCTTTCAGGATAAAATTCAAACTCCTTGGCATAACTAGAAGTTCTCCATGTTCTGGTCCATTCCTCTCTTCAGCCTCATCTCTTGACTTTATCCCCTTTTATTCCTGCATTCTAGCGATGCAAACTACCTTCACATTCCAAAATACAATATATTTGCTCATGACTTCATGATGAAGTACAGCTCCTATTTCTCCTGGTTATCATGCCCCCTCTTTTGGGTGGCTAATTCATAATGTGGATCAAATAACACTGTAAGAAGTTCTCCCTGCTTTCTCGTCAACCCCCCTCTTTTGGGTGGGTTACTTCCATTATTTTCAGAATGCCACATTCACGTATCTGTCACAGTCTTCATCTCATTATAATCACTGATTTATTTTTTAATCTATTTCTTCCTGCATCTGATACCATCTCCCTGCTACCTCCAGCAATTTTACACACAGTACATTCAAGAGGCAGAATGGTTGGTTTAGTGGATAAGGTACAGAACTGTTCTTGGGTTCAAGTCCCACCTCTGCCTCTTATTAGCCCTATGATGTTAGCCAAATAGCAAAAACCAGTTAAAACCACAATGCAGAAAGAGAGGAATTTATGCAATCACACTGTGATTTTGAACATATGGATTTACTTTTTTGGTCTGTCACTTCATTTGCACAACAGGTGTTGGAACAAATGATCTCCAAAACGCCTTTCAACCCTAAGAACTTATGGCTAGGATTACCAGTAGTATCCTGGATAAGAGATATTTTAAAGGTCTATGAGAGTCGTGCAAATATAGTATCATGAATATTTGAAACTACAGAAGTGAAGTTAATTGTCAGGTTACTTAATTGCACAGATTCTTTTCAAAGTCAAATAGGATTTTTCAGATTTGGTTTGATTTCATCTAGAAAGAATTTTTTAAAATCTGCTAAGTAGCAGTAAAAATGTAACTCCCTTTTAAAAATCTGATTTCAAGAGAAACATTTTATCATGTTACTTTTCCTGAATTATCAACTCATGCACTTTCAGTCCTATGTATTCATACAATATTCTATTTCTGAAGAGGAAGGTCTTACAAAGCATCCACACTGATTACTGTCTCTGTAACGTAAAGAACAGTAACTTTTGCTCACAACAGCAGAAAATAATGCATTATGCTCAAGCTAACTGCAAATAAGAGAACATTTATGACACTTTAAAAAAAGAAAAAGAAAGTCTGAACTTGAACAGTAACAGCTCATTCTTTTTCTGCTTTCAAAACCTCTTTCACCATTCAAGGCCTTGAGATAGGCAGCAAAGTATGCAGGGAAAATTTTTATATACTCCAGTGAAAATTGTAAAAAGGGGAAAACTATGCATGTAAATGTTATGACTGATTCCCTTGAATGCACCAACTAGATAGCTCTTAATTCTGAAATAATATTTTTATTCATAGCACATTTTATGTAATAGAGTATGTTTCTGATCCTTATAATAATCCTGTGAGATTGTCAGGGAAGACATTATCTCTACTTGACAGATGAAGAAACTGAGCTGTGTGAATATGCCAAGCCACAGAGTTTTAAAATGTCAGAGCTTTGACTACTAATATACCTTATTAATCTATATATCACCAGAATCCAATATTTTGTGGACACTTTATTAAACACGTGGCAAAGAAATTAAGCTAAATTTTCTGGTTTCTAGAGTCCAGTGCTCCTTTTATTAGCAGTTTTAGTAATTCTCCTCCAATTGGTAGGATAGGTTTGTAGCTGAGTCAATTAAATTACTAACCCCAAATCAAGAATGTTACTTAACTGAGGATGGGCATGGTAGCTCACACCTGTAATCCCAGCACTTTGGGAGGCCGAGGCAGGCAGATCACCTGAGGTCAGGAGTTTGAGACCAGTCTGGCCAATATGGTGAAACCCTATCTCTACTAAAAAATATAAAAATTAGCTGGGCATGGTGTCACGCACCTGTAATCCCAGCTACTTGGGAGGCTGAGGCAGGAGAATAACTTGAACTGGGGAGGCAGAGGTTGCAGTGATCTGAGATCGGGCCACTGCACTCCAGCCTGGGCAACAAAGCAAGACTCCATCTCAAAATAAAATAAACAAAAAAAAACCAATGTTACTTAATTGAAGCAATTTAGGTAGCCAGATCTTCTGGACTGAAAACATAAGCAGAATTTTGTTAGCTACTATCTTTTCACCTACACGTTTCATAGGAATACATGTAAAATTACTTTCTTTGATAGAATAGGCAAAGAAAAATTCCTATAAACAAGTACCTATTAATTACCTGTGGTGCAAGAAGAGGTAGCCTAATATAAGCCAAAAGTTTACTTAGATCTTTCCGTCTCTGTTCCAAATCATGACGGACCCAAGTAAGAAGTGCATTCAATATTGTTTCCTCATTAGGAATGTTCATGTCATCACTTGCCAAGAGCTTTGCAATTTCGCTGGCTGGTAATAATACAAATTCCTGGTTTCTGATTACTTCCATGAAATGCTCCTAGAGGGAAGAAATAGCAGATAAACAATATTGTCCCTTCTGACCATCACAATTTACTTAGAAGAAAGTAAAAGCTTTTTGTGTTAGCTACCAAACACAATTTATATTTTAGACCTTACAATGTACTACTACTTGTTAGGAAAGAAACACAGCAGAGAAAAAAAAAATTAAACTGCAATTATGTTGTTAAACATATATAAGTAGAATTAAAGTGTTATATCACTTATTACATTTAAAAAATGGACCTGGGACATTTAAGTATTGCTTCACTCAAGTTAGGAAATACTTTTGGCAATTCTTTTGAAGGAAGAGAGAAAAAATGAATTAGACACTGAGATATATGATACTCTAACACGAGAAGTGGTTGGATTTGTGGTTTGGATTTGTAGGTGCTGAAGAATTTGGCCAGCAGTGGAGCCAAACACCTAGAGAGCTTGGTTACTTCTCTAACTAGGAAATGGCCCCCAGGGTGGCTAGATTTTCCAGAACCTTTCTAGACCACGGATGTCTTCTCAGATCTTCCCTGGAATGAGTATTGTCCTTAGGGTTATACTACAACCATATTGGTCTTCAAGGTCGTTTTAATGATATTTATAAGACCATCTAGGATTTTGGGTCTGTTTTCAAATTTTTAATCTCTTTTAAGGGTCTGTTTTTTAATTTGTTATATGTTCTAAGTGTCTGTTTTTAAATTTTTAATCTCTTCTAATGTAATTTACAAAGCTATTTTGGTCTCATAGGAAAAAGGACCAAAGGGGGGGAAAAAAGTAGTGACCTACAATGTCCTGGGATCAGGACATTAAATGACTCAGTCCTGGCCTCACGTTAGAATCAAATCCTCTATAATTGGAAATGGGAAATAAAAATGCCGTTAGGTGTGAGATGACCTTGATAGGCTATTATGCTAAATAATCAGGAGAGAAGGAAAACATACCATCTAATTTGAAAGGTTGTAAGTCTTAATGAATGGATAGTTGATATAGTTATAATATAAATGCAAATGCTAGACACATATTGTCCCTTAATGTTTTTCTCATATTTCCTGATGTATTATCGCTGTCTCAGCATGCAGAGGTTTACTAAAGAAGCTAAGGCTGTTTAAATTAGAGCTAGAGATAAGGACTATCAATAACTATCTTCTATATTAAAATGAGAATTATATTTTCCATATAGCCTGTGGTAACCCGAGTGAGGTAGTGATCTAAAATATATACTAGCTTGGCATTCCTATCAGTAGAAGTTCTAAAGGGGAAAACCATTCATGAATAATTAATGAAGTTCAATTGCTTCAATTTATCATGATTTGTTCAAGGATGTCTAAATGAGTCTATTTTAAATGATAGATTATCATTTCAGAAACATATTTTAATAAAACTTCAATGCTAGAATGGCTCCAAGCAAAAGGTTCTATTGAATTGCATACTGACATTCTTTTAGTAACACATAGCAAGAGCTACAAAAATGTTGAAACTCTCAACCCAGTTATCCCATTTGTAATTTAAACCTTAATAAATAATTTGTAAGCAAAAAACAAAGCTGAATACCTACAATACTTCTCTGTATTATTATTTACAATGGTAAAAAATGGAAAATAGCCTACATGTTCAGTTATGCGGAGCTGTATATTAAATAAGCATTAAAAATTTCAAAGACAAAGATCACGTAGCTACATGGAAAGATACTTATGATAAAATGTTAGGTGAGACTGTGAAGAAACTGAAATAATAACATGTATTTCCAATTCCTTAAACATATAAAGTATAATCGACAGATATATACATTGGTATAACTATGCCATACTTTCAAATGGCATTAACTGGATTTCATCAGTAACAAAAGGACTATCATGTAAATGTTCACTTGACAAATTATTTGTTGATATATCTATTTCAGAATAATGCCCATTCCATTGTAGTATAATTTACATTAAGTGAAAATTGAGTTTTTCAACAACTTATGAAATACTACTGAACTCAATCAAGGTTGAATACAAAGTATTTTTCAAAGGTATTAATTTGGTTTTGAAGCAGCTACTTTAGCAGATCTCAATGTTTTTTATAAGTCTTCTAGATTGAGAAAGACAATTTTAAGTTTTAAAATTAAACGTTTTTATTTGTGTCATAAATTCAAAATGACAATAAATAGTTGTAATGATACAACCAGTCTTAAGACTTTTTTAGAGGTTATATGACTTGCTCCAGGTCATTTTCAGTGGCAGGGAGAATGAGAAAACAGGTTTCCAGATTCATGGATCCTGGGGAGGACTCCTCATCCTTTACCACTTGTATTCGTGCAGGATCAGTGAACGTCCCCAGTCCATGCACCATTCACTGATTGGACTCACTGGCGTGGTATTATGCTGTATATTTTAAATCCATATTAAAATACACACAACTATCATGCTACCAAACACTTGCTAGCACTGTGCCCTTTCCCCCTTTGGAACAGTTTTTAAGCAAATGAAATTATGGAGGGATTTATTTAAATTGAAGATTGAATTTTGCAATACATTTTCATTTGGTTCCCATAGCAACAATTCAAATCAGACAATCTGCCTCTAAATTACTTATTGTTATTAGAATTCAATTTCATGTCTCTGTTAAAACTGAATAATGTTAAATAATGGCCTTGAGAAAAAAAATCTACCACAACTAATTGGCTATGAAAATAGCTTTAAAAACATCCAGCTAATTTAAATTTAATTTCTGTGTAAGCCTTAAAGCAGCAAGCGTGCCTCTACTGTAAACAACAGGAGTGACCTAAATGCATACAAATGTTTTCACCTGAATAAAACTCCTTCCTAGAAAAAAGATGATTATTCAAATTATAAACTGATTATGAAGGAAAAAATCCAACTTTATATTCATCTCATTCAAAAAAGTAGTTGAAATCGCAGGTGTATGGTTAAAATGAGAATCTACAAAGAATGATAAAGACTGAGGGAAAAAAACATTTCAATGGACTTAATTTTTAAAACGTCAACATAATAGCACACTAGGGCTATATATTATTGTCCTGTTGTACAATCTCTTATTTTTCCAGTTGAGGCTCTGTGACTATCATAAACAAGAAACATTCCTGAGAAAATGATTACACCACAGGGAGGAAAACCAATCATAAAGGCTGTGGTTTTGTAAGTGCTTTTGTTCCCTCTCATAAATTTCTATTGTGTTGGATAGAGGAAATCTATATAATGATGATGACAACAATGGAATGAGACTCACTGACTGGATATACGACATGCCAATCAATGTTCTGACTGCTAAACTTCTATTAACTCATCTAATCCTCACACCAAGCTCAAGAAGTAGACAGAACTGATCTTCCCAATAGTTTGTAAATACCTATTCTTAAAATTTTTCCAAATCTCTATTTCTCTAATGAAGGATTCCTAAAGCACTCTCAATCTTTTCATATCCCAACTCAATGGAACGATGAAGGAGAGGGTAGGCAAAATAACATTTCCTAAATGCTGATAAAATCAGTAATATCCACAACTGTACACATGTATGTGAATGTTCACATTTTTTCTTCTCTTAGAAACTGTACTGCCCTAAACTGAAGCATTTAAAGCAACAGTTTCAGTCATTGCTCAGGTGTGAAGAACTAACTGTTACAGTGTGGCAACATGAACATTCCTCAAAAACCCACGCACCCTCCCTTGCCTGCACCCCTCTACTGTTAAGACCATACAGGGTTGTCCTAATACTATGCTCTCAACATGACCTTATTTTCTTACTCTCCTAGGTCAACCCATTTTTTAACTTTTAAGTTCAGGGGTACATGTGAAGATTTGCTATACAGGTACACTTCTATCATGGGGGTTTGTACAGATTATTTCGTTTTATTATCCTTCAGGCTACTGAATCAGAACCTCCTCTATGATTTATTGAGCGCATAATTTGCTATAATGAATAAAAACATCATTATACATGGCTGTAAACACTTTATACATAGTCAGATTTATCCTTAACAAAAAGCCTCCCATTCATCCTCTACCAATATGCTGCAACCTCTGTCACCAATTTCTATCAGTGAAATTTCTATCAGTGAATACAATCCTGAAATTCATCCATGTGCAGCAAAGTAAAATGTTTGGGGAGAGTCCTATTTTAAAAAGCAGCAAATCTGAAAATCTTAATGGAACAGGCCTAGGCCACTGTTCTGTTTCCCAGGGACTGCTTTAGGGCTTGATTCATACACCCAGGAGAAGTATTACTCGGTGCGTTCCCATTATAACTCAATGAAAATATGACACACTAGGCAATGAAACTCAATCTCAAGACATGTGGCAGAGCCATGGGAAAACAGTAATATGTAGATAAGCCTGCAACAATAAGAAATATGCATTTGGAGGATACTTTCAAAAAATACATACCATAGTATAATTGTGAGCCACTTTATGCAAATCTGTACAACCTTGGGCATCAGCAAAAGAACGAATTCCAAGACAGTTGGATGGATGAAGCTGTTTCATTAAAAACTTACAGCATGCTTCTACAACCTGTGAAAGCTGAAGAAGGCAAGCTGTAGATAACAGGCACTCAATATTATCTTCTTTTAATTCAAGGCGGCCTTAATGATAAAAAGAAATTCCATTAGCTATGGAACTACATTAACCTTATTTTATAAAATAACTGATGTTAACAGTGGTGGTTCCATGTAAGAGCTCATTACATGCATTACAGACCTACATGGTTTAAGACATCCCAAAACGAAAAAAAGGGCTAAATGGAGAAAAAATTATTAGCTCCTTGAGACATCTACTAAAATAAAAACTAATGGCTTATTTTCAGAATTTTAAAATGATACATTAGTAACTTACATCTACTATATACCTGTGTAATTCTCAATTTTTTTTTTTTTTTTGAGACAGGGTCTTTTCTATTGCCCAGGCTGGAGTGCAGTGGTGTAACCAATGGCTCACTGCAGCATTGAAATCCTGGGCTCAAGCGATCATCTGTCCCGCCTCAGCTTCCCGAAGTGCTGGGGTTTACAGGTGTAAGCCACTGCATCTGGCCAACTCTCAAATTTTAAATGTAAGAATTTGACACTACATAATTAATTTAATTTTTATATTAACATTTTAAAGGGCCATTCAAAAACTTAATTATGATAACAATTTTAAAGGTTTTAATATGGAGATTTTAATTTATCACTAGGTTAAATACAAAAGGGTAGTGATGACAATGGCAGACTTAACTGTTAGCTATGGCATGCTTTCTAAAATCAGAAATCCGAAATCTAATAATACAACATAAATCTAAGAGGTTTTAATTTACATTTTCAGACTTGTTACCTGTATAAGCATACTGGATCAAGGACCACAATGAATTTGGTTCTACACCTTCCATTTTTATTTCTTCTTGTCTTGCTTCTCTGACATCATTAGTAAACATGGCAGCAAAATAGTCTGAGACAGAGGAGAGCACCAATCTGAGAACACATTAGGAAAAAAAAAATCAGTGACCACATTCAAGTTGATGTTCATTAATAAATGCTGCTGCTTCTTTTTTTATTTGTTACTCATAGTGCATGGTACTAGGAAATGCGTTTTAAGCTTGACAAATTGCTTTATGCTCTAGTTCCTTCCTTTGAATAATAAATTACCATTACCAAATTTTCTGCTGAGGTGAATGCTTTACCAGCTCACTACTCAAATCATGCTTTATAACATCCAGAAAACAAGCTACAAGCCCATAGCATCAAATCAACTATATAAAGGAAACATGTAAAAGTTATTGTTTGCTTATCACTTTTGAAAATAAAGTAAGCCATTTTTAAAAAATTTAATTATAGCCGGGCGCGGTGGCTCAAGTCTGTAATCCCAGCACTTTGGGAGGCCGAGACGGGCGGATCACGAGGTCAGGAGAGTGAGACCATCCAGCTAACACAGTGAAACCCCGTCTCTACTAAAAAATACAAAAAAAAATTAGCCGGGCGAGGTGGCAGGCGCCTGTAGTCCCAGCTACTCGGGAGGCTGAGGCAGGAGAATGGCGTGAACCCGGGAGGCGGAGCTTGCAGTGAGCTGAGATCCGGCCATTGCACTCCAGTCTGGTCTACAGGGCGAGACTGCATCTCAAAAAAAAAAAAAAAAAAATTAATTATAGAGTAGTGAATATATAGGAGACATTTGAAAATGGTTTTTGCTAGCAAGTTTTAAACTTTTATAATAGTCTATTATCTTAGTCTGCATTTTGTTAAAAATTATGTTGTAATAACACTATAAAACTATATTTTTTATAATACAATTATAAAATATATTAGCTATGTCTCTAAGTTTTTGATGGTCATATATAATACATTTAAATTATAATTTTTTTTTTTTTTAGACAGAGTCTCATTCTGTCTCCTAGGCTGGAGTGCTGTGATCTCGGCTCACTGCAACCTCTGTTTCCCAGGTTCAAGCAATTCTCCTGCCTTGGCCTCCCGAGTAGCTGGGATTACAGAGATGGCCACCACGTCCAGCTAAGTTTTTTATTTTTAGTAGAGACGGAGTTTTGCCATGATGGCCAGGTTGATCTTGAACTCCTGGCCTTAAGTGATCAGCCCGCCTGGGCCTCCCAAAGAGCTGGGATTATAGGCGTGAGTCAAGGCACCCGGCCTTATTTTTGAAACAGGCATTTTTTCACTGGATAATGTCTTGAAGACATTTCCATGTCAGCACACTTAAATAGATTTTAAATAAATATTTTCATTTTTAAAAGTAATAAGGATTATGATACAGATAATCATTGGGTCCCTCTTTAATTCCATTTTCTTACCTCCCCAGGAGTGGCATTGCTGAGTCATAAGATTTGCCAAAGTAAGGTACCAATTTAGACCCCACCAGCACTGTATAAGACTAACATTTTCCCCATAATATTATCAGATGTTAAAATTTTTGGCTATCTATGTAGTGTTAAATGCTATCTCATTGTTGTTTCAATTTTCATTTATTTGATCGCTAGTGAGGTTTTTCAAATGCTTATTGGCCACCGGTTGCTTCTTCAGAAAATTGTCTATTCATTCATTCATTCATTCATTCATTCAATGAACAAATACTGATGTGTGTCCAATAAGTACTGGGTACTGTTCTAGATACTTGAGATACATCAGGGTACAAAATAAGACAAAAGATCTCTTCCCTTGTGGAGTCTTACATTTAGAGGGTAGGGAGACAATGATCAGCAGAAGTAAATTCTATAGTATATTAAGAGGTGATAAGTGCTAAGGGGAAAAAAAGTAGGGCAAAGGCAAATGGGGAAAGGGTGGTGAGTTTAAATAGGTGGTCTCACTGGAAAGTGACATGGGAAAAGATCTGAAGGAGGTTTAGGATTTGGTCATGCAGGTAACTGGGAATAGCCTTCAGGCAGAAGAAATAGTGCAAAAATCCAAAGGCAGGAGCAGCATGCCAGGCACATGCAAGGAACTACAAGAGGTTGAGTGGCTGATGCTGACTGAGCAAGAGAGAGACCAATAGGACAATACTAGAGTGATAGGGCAGGCTGGATCGCATACGCCATTGCATGTACTTCATCTTTCACATCCAGTGACATGAGGAGTCAATGAAAGATTCAATCAAAGAAATGACTGAATCTGAGTTCCACTTTAAAGGATCACCCAGGTAGCTATGTTAAAACAGAATGTAGGGGCAAAGAGTGGAGGCAGGGAGACCAGTTGGGAGGCTTTTGCATCAGTCATCTAAGTGAGATGTTGATGGCTCACACAAGCATGGCAGGTAAGGTAATGAGTTCAGTTTTGGAAATACAGAATTTGAGGCGCTTCTATGAAATTCAGGTTGAAACAGCTTTTCTAACAAACCCATGTTCATAACCTGGACTTTCTGTCACAGTATATAGTAGTATCTCAATAAATGAATGCTAATTGAGTCACTGAAAACTGTAATACCAAGCCAATTCTTCCTAATGATTTTATTTCCACTTCGGAAAGTTTTTTATTTTTATTTTTATTTCAATAGGTTTTTGGGCAATGGGTGGTGTTTTGTTACATGAATAGTTCTTTAGTGGTAATTTCTGAGATTTTGGTGCACCCATCCCCCAAGCAGAGTACACTGTACCCAATGTGTAGTCTTTTATCCCTTACTCCCCTCCCACCCTATCCCCTAAGTCCCCAAAGTCCATTGTATCATTCTTTTTTGGGGGGGGGGCGGGGGAGACAGAGTCTCACTCTGTCGCCCAGGCTGGAGTGCAGTGGCATGATCTTGGCTCACTGCATCCTCTGCCTCCCAGAATCAAGCAATACTCATAACTCAGCCTCCCAAGTGGCTGGGACTACAGGTTCACGCCACCACGCCTGGCTAGTTTTTGTATTTTTAGTAGAGACGGGGCTTTGCCATGTTGGCCAGGCTGGTCTGGAACTCCTGGCCTCAAGTGATCCACCTCAGCCTTCCAAAGTGCTAGGATTACAGGTCCTGAGCCACCATGCTCGGCCCATTGTATCATTCTTTTTTTTTTTTTTTTTGAGACAAAGTCTCACTCTGTCGCCCAGGCTGGAGTGCAGTGGCATGATCTCGGTTCACTGCAACCTCCGTCGTCTGGGTTCAAGCAATTCTCCTGCCTTGGCCTCCTGAGTAGTTGGGATTACAGGCACCTGCCACCACGCCTGGCTAATTTTTGTATTTTTAGTAAAGATGGTGTTTCACCATCTTGATCAGGCTGGTCTTGAACTTCTGACCTCGTGATCCACCTGCCTCAGCCTCCCAAAGTGCTGGGATTACAGATGTGAGCCATCACGCCTGGCCTCACTGTATCATTCTTATGCCTTTGCATCCTCATAGCTTAGCCCCCACTTATGAGTGAGAACATATGATGTTTGGTTTTCCATTCTTGAGTTACTTCACTTAAGTCTCCAGTTCCATCCAGGTTGCTGAGAATCCCATTATTTCATTCCTTTTTATGGGTGAGTAGTATTCCATGATATATGTCCACTCTTTATCCACTAGTTGATTGATAGGCATTTGGGCTGGTTCTATATTTTTGCAATTGAAAACTGTGCTGCTATAAACCTGTGTGCAAATATCTTTTTCATAACTTCTTTTCCTCTCAATTGATAGCTGGTATTGCTGGATCAATTGGTAGATCTACTTTTAGTTTTTTTTTTTTTACTTTTAGTTCTTTAAGGAATCTCCACTGTTTTCTGTGGTGTTTGTACTAGTGTACATTCCTGCCAACAGTGTAAAAGTGTTCCCTTTTCAGCAATATCTATGCCACATTGATTATTTTTTGATTTTATGATTGTGGCCATTCTTGCAAGAGTAAGGTGGTATTGCATTGTGGTTCTGATTTGCACTCCCCGATCATTAGTGACGTTAACCACGTTTTCATATGTTTGCTGGCCATTTGTGTATCTTCTTTTGAGAACTATCTATTCATGTCCTTAGCCCACTTTTTGATGGGACTGTTTTTGTTTTTGTTTTTTTTTCTTTTCTGATTTGAGCTTTTTGGTAGATTCTGGATATTAGTCCTTTGTTGGATGTATAGATTGTGAAGATTTTCTCACTCTCTGTGGGTTGTCTGTTAACTCACAGACATTCTTTCTTTTGCTGTGCAGAAGTTTTTTAGTTTAATTAAGTCCCATCTATTTATCTTTGTTTTTGTTGCATTTGCTTTTGGGTTCTTGGTCATGAAGTCTTTGCCTAAGCCAATGTCTAGAAGGCTTTTCCCAATGTTATCTCACTTCGGAAGGTTTTTTTTTTTTTCAAAAAAAAACCTTTGGGACAGAGTGTTAATTAGTTTTGAAGGGCATCCAGAAAAGAAAAAAAACCTTTGAGAATCATAGTGGTGATTAACAATGAACAATTGAATACAGAATTATAAGAAAATGAATTATTTTTTATTAAACAGTTCTTTTCCTTTTCTTACTTCAAGAAATAATATGTAATTTGTAGTAAAGGCTTTTTTCCCCTAGCACTGCTTTTCATACTTCTTGGAAATCAGCAAACAGAAACTGGGATAGATATGTCTATTTTAAAAACTCTTAAGACTTTGTGCTACTCCACTTCACCAGCTTTTCTTCTAAATCCACAAGCTTTAACTGCCATTGAGTTTACTTAAAGTAATTAATAGGTAGAATATCGCACAAAAGCTTCTTATAGTAGCTGAAGTCTATACCAAACAGTACCAACTTATCTGAGGCTAGTATGTTTTGTTATTGTGCTTCTACGGCAGGACAATGACCCTTTTGGGATCACCAAACATGTAATAATTTCATATGCACTGTTTTCTTGATGGAAATTCCATGAAGATAGAAATTCCCCTTCCCCAAAACATAATAGTCAATTGAAGTAGGTTACCACAATATACATATCTAAATTACCGAGAAAATACTTAACACATACAGAAATATAGAAAACAACTACCTGTGAGCTGGAATTCTGCGATCACCAGCGACCAAAATTACGTCGCACAACTGTTTATGTCTCAAATAGTTTTCCATTTTTTTAAATGTTTGTTCAGCATGATTAAGGGCTTGGAAAAATTCATCTGATGAACATGGCTCCATAGTATGACAGGATGATAATGTCTGACTACTATTGGAAGTCCTGAAAAGAAAAAAAATACACATTTTGAAATATCACTGTCACATTAAAAAGATCTTTGCTATTAAGTCCTTTGAAAGCCTTCAAATGTAATAGAAGAAATCATGCTACCTATCAATATTAATGTATAATCATTCATTTTAGTCTCTTAAAAATCAATGATGCCTTAAGTCATATGATTCCTGTAAACACTGTAAGTGAATTTAAACTGTTAATTAATTGCTACACATATTCTTTGTAGTATCTTTTTGTGAGGTCTTTTCTCTGTTAAAGCCAATGTCTCTGCTGAAAAAGAGCTAGCTATATTCATATTGATAACCGTATCTCCTAACATTGTATTTAAGGATATAAGAGATAACTCATCTTTGAAGGCAGAAAGGCAATTAAATTATTTTGGAGATACAAATTCAAGTCAAGTTCATTAAAAAATATATTGTCATAAAAATAGTGTTATAAATAATTCTTTTGGTTCTCTGTCCAGTCCTCAAAAGCCCAGGTAATCTATAACTTATATTACAGGTTGAAAGAATTTGATAGCCTAATACAGCTGTCTAAAAAATCATTTGAAATTTCTAAATTATAATTTGAAGAGTATGAGTTCTGAGTTCTATGTTCTGTTTTCTTTCTTTTTTCTTTCTTTTTTTGGATGGAATTTCACTCTTGTTGCCCAGAATGGAGTGCAATGGTGTGATCTCGGCTCACCGCAACCTCCACTTCCTGGGTTCAAGCAATTCTCCTGCCTCAGCCTCCTAAGTAGCTGAGATTACAAGCATGCACCACCATGCCCGGCTACTTTTGTATTTTTAGTAGAGATGGGGTTTCTCCATGTTGGTCAGGCTGGTCTCGAACTCCTGACCTCAGGAGATCTGCCTGCCTCAGCCTCCCAAAGTGCTGGGATTACAGGCATGAGCCACCGCACCCGGCCTTATGTTCCATTTTCATATGATTTACTGACAAAAACTGTGAAAAAGCAAAAAGGTTAGGACTAAGAATGAAGTCCTGAGCACACATTCCTCCTCACTCTTACCCCCAGTTCTCCTCTCCAGGATCACTTAAATCAACTAATTAAAGTCGGTTGGTTATGCAATTAACTGTAAAACCACTGACTGTGCCATAACTTAGTTCTCATTTCTCATCAGATCTTCTTTTAAGGATATTATGGTTGTGATATATGCTTTGTTGAATCAAGTCCCACTATATCTTAAGATAATCTTGTTAATATAACTAATAACCTTATCAAAAAAGAAAAAGTCATCATATTTCTTACTTTTAACGTAAAGGGAACTGAAGCCAAGAAGACTGCCAAGAGTCAGAGTTCATTCATGGCAGAGATAGGGCTATCACAGAAACTGCTATGTGTTCACCAAAACATCCCTTTTTCCCCCTGAGCATATAGCTAAACTACATTTCCCAGCCCCTCTTGCAAATAGGTGTGTTCTTATGGAAATGAACTATTACATCACACAGTTCACCTTAAAGTGGCTAAGAACAGGTATGGCTTTTCCGTATTTTCTTTCTCTATCCATAGGTTGAAGGGAGAGGACTGAAGACTTAGAAAAAGGAAGAAGTAAAATACACAAAAGATCACTAAAGCAAGAACATTCACATTGAACTAAGATTTATCTGTTTTAGAAGTTAACAATGCCTTAACTGATAAATATTCTTTCCTAAATCCTCCTAGTCTGATGTATTTTCAGTACCATACAAACATGGGCATCAGATAAATGCCCTTATGGCTTTTCCGTATTTTTCTTTCTCTATCCATAGGTTGAAGGGAGAGGACTGAAGACTTAGAAAAAGGAAGAAGTAAAATACACAAAAGATCACTAAAGCAAGAACATTCACATTGAACTAAGATTTATCTGTTTTAGAAGTTAACAATGCCTTAACTGATAAATATTCTTTCCTAAATCCTCCCTAGTCTGGATGTATTTTCAGTACCATTACAAACATGGGCATCAGATAAATGCCTCTAACTGATAAATATTCTTTCCTAAATCCTCCCTAGTCTGATGTATTTTCAGTACCATACAAACATGGGCATCAGATAAATGCCCTGGAAGATAATTGTCAGTAATGACAACAGAAGTCAAACGTATATTATCTAGAAAGGATGTGTTGTACACTATGAATATTACTGGTGTAATGACTTGGAAAATTCAAGTCAAGTAATACTCGACTTCACATTTAAGATCGTTATTATAAAAATGGGTTGAATAGTATGTAATTACATATTGTTTATACAAATAAATGAGAATTAGAAACTATTTTAAAATTTAGGAGACAGCATAACATAAGCAAAAAAATAATGGTGGTTTTGATGAATAATAATTTGAAGATTTTGCAGTGGCTCACGCCTGTAATCCCAGCACTCTGGGAGGCTGAGGCGGGTGGATCACAAGGTCAGGAGATTGAGGCCATCCTGGCTAATATGGTGAAATCCTGTCTCTACTAAAAATACAAAAAAAAAAAAAAAAAAAAATTTAGCTGGGCATGGTAGTACACGCCTGTAGTCCCGCTACTCGGGGGACTGAGGCAGGAGAATCGTTTGAACCCAGGAGGTGGAGGTTACAGTGAACCGAGATCATGCCACTGTACTCCAGCCTCAGCGACAGAGCGAGACTCCATCTCAAAAAAAAAAAAAAAAAAAAGAATATTTAAAATTTTTTTGATAAAGTTTTATACTGTTAAAATACTGACAAATGATTATAAGAGCATTAGTGACCTGAGGAGGGGAAAAAATTATAGTATCTAATTTTTATAAGCCATAAATTCAAGAACAGGTAAATAAATCAAGTACTTCTTTCTTAAGGCTCCTATATTTTGTATCACATTTCTTGTACTTCATATCAAATTATAAGTAATGATTAAACAAATAAATTAGTTGAATGTTTCTTGAGTGATGAACTGCCATCAACTAACACAGATGCTAATCAATGTTAAAGTTCTGAAAGAACAATGGAACTTTGTAATACTATCATCATTGTTATTATAGGCTACTTCTGATGTTGGCATATGCCCAGTTAATAATTTTCTTGTCAAGATCTTTCAGAGTATTTTGGTTCAGATGCTGAAACAAGTCAGGATAACCGGGGAGCATTTCAGTCTCAGTGTTCAAGGCCTTATACCCTGAGACTGATTCAATAGGTCTGAGGTGAGATTTGAACATCATAGTTTAAAAATAATTTTATTTTCAATATTATTGACAAATAACAATTGTATATATTTATAGGGTATAATGTGAAGTTTTGATCCGTGTACATGTGGTGAACTGCTAAAATCAGGGTAATTAACAAATTCATTACCTTTAATATTTATCAATTCTTTATGGTGAAAAACATGTAGAGCCCTCTCTTTTAGCTATTTAAAGCCCTCTCTTTTAACTATTAACCATAGTCACCTTCCTGTGTTCTAGCACATGAGAACTTGTTCCTCCTAATTGTAACTTTGTGCACACTGACCCAAGTCTCTCTTTGGCACTCCCCACCCTCAGCCTCTGGTAAGCACCTCTGGTAAGACTTCCTTACTCTTTTTTCTCCTATTACATCTTTTGTTTAGCATGTAATAGGACAAGAGAATTAAGGAGGTATTGGGGAGCGATGAAGCACATTTTAGGAAGTTCTAGAGCTGTGCTGTCCAATACAGTAGCCACTAGCCCCAGAGAATTAAAGGAGGTATTGGGGAGCGAGAAGCACATTTAGGAAGTTCTAGAGCTGTGCTGTCCAATACAGTAGCCACTAGCCCCATGAGGCTCTTTTAATTTAAACAAAAATTTTTAATTCAGTTATTTAGTTGGACTAGTCGTATTTCAAGTGTTCAACAGTCTGCCAGTGTGGCTACCAACAGGATATACAGATATGGAACATTTATCAATGCTGAAAGTTCCATTGTGCAGTGCTGGTCTAGGGCCCTATAGACCTGGGTTCAACTCTCACTCTGTCACTTACTATGTATAATTCTGGACAAGTTAACTTCTAAGGCTTATTTTCTTAACAGCACAACAGAAATAATACATAGTGCTGTCTTTAGGGATCCTCAAGAGAGGATTATTAAATGATATAATGCATGCACAGCCCTAGGGCAGATTAGTACACAATTGAGGAAAGCTACTGTTAGTAGAACCCTTACTTCAGTGGCCACAATGGGAAGGCCTGTAATTATAGTCTTTTGGTTTACATAATGTTGTTTGATGGTTATCTTTTTAAAAAAAAATGATCCCTGGTATTATCATTTTTCATAACTAAATTTCATACTTCTTATTTAAAATGGCTTTTAGTAAACATCCTAACCCACAACACAAATATCCAGGAATAGGCCATTCCTGAAGCATTTAAAATATATTTCTCTCTGATTGCTACCTGATCTTTTACATAACAGAGGAAATACATCTAACATCTCTGCTTAGTTTTACTTATATGATACCACTAAGATAGTAAATCATATTTCAAAAAATTACATAAGATCATTTAAATTTTTTATATTAGACTTTCACTGTAATGAATACATTGCTGAATATTTCTAGTCTACAGGGAAACATTTAATTTATAGCTTATGTCTTTCTCTGCAGTAGGCAATGAATTTTAAAGTCAGAAAAATGCCTAAACATAGAAAAGAGGCAAGTATCAAATAGAAACAAGTCACTAACTATTCACAGAGCAACTACTCTGCATTGCACCAGTTAGAAACTGGGGGAATGCTAAGAAAGATATTATTCCCTAGTGAAGGGACTTGGAATTTGAAGAGTCAAGCTCCATATCTGGAAAAAGTGAATTAGCAACTCTAACCCTTGTAATTCCCCAGATTTTACATGTGCTTACATGTACATGTGCTCACACAATATTCACCATGACCAATACACCTTTTTATTATAAACTATTTAGATCCTTTTACTTTTATCGCTAGAATTTACACTAGAATTTCTTAACAGAGTAATTTTTCAAAAGAAGTTTTACAAATTAATTTATAAAAGTTATACTGTCTATGATTATGAGTAGGAAAAAAAG